CGTCCCCTCTGCTCACAGCCGGAACCCAGACGGTGCCTGTCTGCTCACCCATGCTCAGGGGCCTTTGGTCCCCATACCCAGTCTGACCCCATGTCTTCCATGTCTCTTTGATCCTTTGATCCTTGACCCTTCCTCCAGGGAGACCCCGGCAGGCCCGGATTCAGCTACCCAGGACCCCGAGGAACACCTGTAAGTCCTAGGGACCCCAGGGTGTGTGAGCATTGTGGTGGGTGACCTGTGGTTCTCATGGCCTCTTCATGACAGGCCCACCCCCACCCCTGCCACCCAGGACAGGAAAAGGGCATGCAGGTCCTGCCAGTAGTCAGGGAGATGCCGTGAGGTCAATGGCAGGTTGAGCTTCACCCCCACCCCCACCCCCATCCAAGGAACATTTCTCCAGGAGCACATGTTGCCGAGGCCTTAGCCCAGAGACTTGAGCTATTTTGATAAGCAGTAGGTGCTGATAACCAAGACCATAGAGGTAGGAGGGGGTACTGCAGAGAACCCCCAGCCATCAGCACCCTGCCCTGGTCAGGTCTGGACACGGCAGCAGCACTACTTTGGGTTCTGGGGCCGAGTTATCCTGACACGTGTTTGCTTCACAGGGAGACAAAGGGGAGCCTGGCCCACGTGGCCCCGAGGTAGGTACAGGGAACCCATGCCTACCCCTCTGTCCTCCAGGGCCTTCCACCATGAGCTGACCTTGTCTAATGTGGTCGGGACTGAACCCATGCCAGGGTGGGTGGGAGGGTGTGGTGAGTCTTCCCCAAGACTCCCTGCATGGATTGAAGCCCTTCTGCCCTGGAGAGGGGCCCCCAGGTACACACTGAAGCCTTCCTTTGCCATTGAGCGTATGAGGCTGGGCATGTGCCACTGGCCCCTCGCAGACCAAAAAGGGAGCCTGACCAAACATGCTGACACCATGCCCTATCCCACACTGGCCCGCGCCCACCCCCGCTGTCCCATGAATGACACTTGTGTCCTGTGTCCCAGGGAGGCAGAGGAGACTTTGGCGTGAAAGGAGACCCCGGGAGGAAAGGCGAGAAGGGCGAGCCTGTGAGTACCCTGACCAGGGCTGGTCAGGACTTGGAGAGGGGCTGCTCCCTCAGCTGAATATATCAGAGGGCACTCCTGGGGGATGGCAGGGTGAGCCTAGCTCCAAGCACCCACACACACGCTCCTCACCTCTGGAAGAGGACACCAGAGAGCAGTCCTCCCTCCTCACCCAGTTCCCACCCTCAGCCCCAGCATCACCCCTTAAGGCAGATGCTCATTAGCAGGGGGCAGACCCGTGTACTCCATGCTTCTAGCATGGAGGCAGGCACAGGGCAGGCACCCAATAAGGTTTAAAGAGTGAATGAATGACTAAATGGGCAAGAGAGAAAGTAGAGGACACTGAATAGTGTTTGACAGGAGAATGTTGGATAAGGTGGTGGGTGGATAAATAAGTGAGTGAATAGGTAGGTGGATGGATGGATGGATGGATGGATGGATGGATGGATGGATGGATGGATGAATGGATAGGTTGATGAGCCTATGGATGCATAGGTGGGTTTATGGATGAGTGAGTAGGTGGTGTGTAGAAGAAGGGTGGGTAGGTCCGTGTGTGGTTGGATATATGGATGGGTGGGTGCATGGATGGATGGATGGATGGATGGATGGCTTGGTGGGTGGATGGATGGATGGATGGATGGATGGATGGATGGATGGATGGATGGATGGATGGAT